TTGTAAATATTTACTTATTTATTGATTTATTGATTATTTAATATATAAAAAAAAAAAAAAGAATCTAGTATTAATCATTTAAATCACCAGGACTTAATGACAATTAATAATAACCATCTATATATGTAAGGATCAAAAAACAATTCTAGTTAATAGATTCTAGAACTTAATAATTTAACATCTAGAATGTGTTTGATGCCAGTATACCATTGCTTGAGTAACTCCAAAATAATGAACCAAAGCAGCTGCCACTACAAACAAGTGGAATATTTGGTGTGATGATCCCTATAAATTATAGAAAGCATTCGGTAACTTAATATTAGTAAATTAAAAAAAAGTAATATTTTGAAAAATTAAATAATCAATAAATCAATAAATAAGTAAATATTTACAAAGATATCAAATGTTCCAGGGTACCACCTTTCAGGGACTCTAAATTAGATACAAAATTATTTAACTCTTCGTTTCTAATATTCTACAAATACATTTGATATACAATTGAAATTAAGATAATAAATACACATACCTTGCTCCATAGAACAATGCACCTATAACATAAAGGGCACCCATGGATAACACGTAGTTCAAAGAAATCGCTTTAAAACATGCATCAATCTATATTTTACAGTGAAAATAATTGTTTCATAACATTTTCACAAGTAAATATATATTTCAAAGGCATTTAAAAGTTCTTAACTTTTTTACTTCAAAAAGTTTACAACATACCCCATAAAGAGTTATGCCGTGTGCCAATGGTACAACAGCACTTAATCCCATAGCTAAAAATAAACTAGTTCGAAACCATCTAAAATGAGGAGATCGAAATCTTGGGGCTACAGCGACACATATCTAATGATTCAAAAATAAATAAATGTTTATGTTAGCATGAAGGAGAATTTATCTGGTTATTCATTACGTACCGTAGCAATCCCTAGTATAGTTATTAATGATAAATAAAATAACATCCAACCATAGTCACAATAGAAACCTGACAAAGATACAAATAAAAAATAGTTATTAGCGTTACAAATGTTTACAGTAAAAGGGGAATCGTTAAAACTAGTAAGTCATTGGTATTTGTATATGTCATGCTTAAGATAATCGCATGTGCCTGCCTGAAATTACTATTTTAATTTCAGGTGTAACTTAAGTATAATATATAGACCTCAACCATAACGAATAAAATACCGTAATTTTCGAAATAGTACACCGGGTCTCTTACATTCTTAGGATTTAACAAAAATTTGCTAGTACCCATGAGACTAAAAGTTTTATTAAAATTGATTTAAATTAATAGTAAGGTACTTTAACCAGAGATGCTATTTTTCGAAAATTATGGCGTTTTTGTGAGATGAAGAATCTATAGAGAGATCAGACACATATGACAACCGATAGTCCAGTCTAAAAAAAGGTCAGCTATATCAAATTTACTACCGCAAAACC